TTGTGGGCCATGGGCCTAGTTGGCCCCATGGCATATGGAATCTTCATAGACCAGGGATCAAACCCGTGTCCCCTGGATCAAGTGCCCATTCCTTGACTGGTCTGTTACTAGAAAAGCAGAATCTATTAATAGATGACAACTCCCACTTAACTGAGATGGTTTGAGGGGGACACTTCTCAGAAGAGGGAAGCTTTCATAAACAAAACAGCAATAGATTTATACCATGCCAACTCAATTAGGAAAGGCATTTAGAAAAGACAAAAATATGTCTAAAAGGACATAATTTTTTCATTATTTACAGATATGATGACATAAGAGCATCTGGAAATTAGTAAGAACAGTATGTAAATGCAACAAAATGATTAATATAAAGATCAATATAATATTATAGTTTCTTATATCAGTAAAAGTAAAATGGAAGATCTATTCATAGTAGCAACAAAAGATAAATAAACCAATATGGAAATCTACAGGATCAATATAAAATATCATTAATTTGAGACATTCCTTGTATTTGATTGACTGTTATAAAGGATAATATGACCATCACCACTCTAAATGAATGCTATTTCATGAGAGAAAATATGTTTTTTGAACTTTTTATTTTGTATCAGGGTATAGCCAATTAACATGGGCTTCTCAGGTGGGCTTCCCTGGTGGCTCAGAGGTTAAAGCGTCTGCCTCCACTGCGGGAGACCTGGGTTCGATCCCTGAGTCAGGAAGATCCCCTGGAGAAGGAAATGGTAACCCACTCCAGTATTCTTGCCTGGAGAATCCCATGGACGGAGGAGCTTTGTAGGCTCCAGACCACAAAGTCGCAAAGAGTCGGACAGGACTGAGCGACTTCACTTTCACTTTCTCAGGTGGCACTAGTGGTAAAGAACCCACCTGCCAGTGCAGGAGACATAAGAGACATGGGTTCAATCCCTGGGTTGGGAAGATCCCCTGGAGGAGGGCATGGCAATGCACTCCAGTATTCTTGCTTGGAGAATCCCATGGACAGAGGAGCCTGATGGGCTACAATCCATCAGGTTGACAAGAATCGGACATGACTGAAGTGACTTGGCATGCACACATAGCCAATTATCAATGCTCTGATAGTTTCAGGTGAACAGTGAAGGGACTCAGCCATAAATATACATGTATCCATTTCCCCCCAAATATCTCTTACATCCAGGCTGCCACATAACATTGACCAGAGTTGCGTGTGCTACACAATAGGTCCTTGTTGTTTATCCATTTTAAACATAGCAGTGTGTTACATGACCATACCAATCTCCCTACCCCTTCCTCTTGGCAACCATAAGTCGTCTTCTAAGTCTGAGTCTCTTTCTGTTCTGTAAGTAAATTCATTTGTGTCATTTCTTTATAAATTCCACATTTAAAGGATCTCACATGATATTTCTCCTCTGTCTGTCTTACTTCATTCAGTATGACACTCTTTATAGGTCCATCCGTGTTGCTGCAAATGTCATTACTTCATTCTTTTTAATGGCTGAATAATATTCCATTGTATATATGTACCACATCTTTATCCATTCCTCTGTCAATGGACATTTCTGTTGCTTCCATGTCTTGGCTATTGTAAACAATGTTCCAATGAACACTGGGGTGCATGTATGCTTTCGGATCATGTTTTTCTCCGGATATATGCCCACAAGAGGAATTGCAGGGTCTTATTTGTAGCTCTATTTGTAGTTTTTTAAGGAACCTCCATACAGCTCTCCATAGTGGCTGTGCCAATTTACATTCCCACCAACAGTGTAGGAGGATTCCCTATGAGAAAAAATATTTGATGATTAATTCACATGAAGGTTACTAACTTAATAGGATCTTCTCTGTTATAAGTACTTATATTTTATTCAGTGATTCTCAAAATTTAGTATGCATGAGAAAATTACCTGGGCTTCCCTGGTGGCTCAGTGGAAAGAATCCAGCTGCCAGTGCAGGAGACATGGGTTTGATCCCTGGTCTGGGAAGATGCCATGGAGCAACTAAGCCCATGCACTCCAGGAGCACAGGCGTCTCAACTACTGAGCACATGTGCTGCACCATTGAAGCCTGCATGCTCTAGAGCCTGGCTCCACAAGTCATTTCAATGAGAAGCATGCGCACTGCAACTAGAGAGTAGTCCCTGCTCTCTCCAACCAGAAAAAAGCCTGCATGGTCCTTCTGCTTACACGTTTTAAAGTGATCGTGCTTTAAAATTGTGCTGGTGTTTGAAATGTGACCCTCTTAGCGCAGACGAGAGGCGTGTCCAGCAGAGGAACCCAAGGCCTCCCGCACAGCGGCCGCACGGCATCGCAGGTCAGAGACGGGAAACCCAGGGCTGCCCCAGGCCTGCACGGGCTCTGCTGGAGCGCGTGGCCTTCCCTGCACTTTCTCTGCATGGAGCACCCAAGAAAGGTCCAAACATGCTTCCTATCTGCTCTGTACTATTGGTGCCTTCTTGGTATTGTACCTCAAAATTCTGCATAGATTACTTAGTATAATGGTGAGTTAAAAACAAATGTTAAAGGAAGATTTTTTTAAGAATCTGAATGTTTATTCATTATATTGTTACAACTTAACATTTATTTGTGGTATTTGTGATTTGGTTAACCTGTATAAAAATTGTAAGTAGAAAGGTTTATATTTCATCTTAATTCTTTTGATGCTGTAAACGTACTTTCTAAAAGATGGATTATTTGAATGTTTATGGCACCTGACTTGTAAAAAAACAAAAAACAAAAAAATTAGAATCATTAAATTGTGTCCGTGTTACCAAAAAAAAAAAAAAGAAAAAAGCCTGAATGGCAACAAAAACCCTGCATGGCCAAAAACAAATAAATGAATAAAAATTATTTTGAAAAAGAAAATTACCTAGGAATTTTTACTGAAATGCTTTTTGCAAGACATAATCCCAAGAGATTTCAAATCAGTACCTCTGCATAGTTAAGTGCTGCACTCAATATGCCAGCAAATTTGGAAAACTCAGCAGTGGCCACAGGACTGGAAAAGGTCAGTTTTCTTTCCAATCACAAAGAAGGGCAATACCAAGGAATGCTCAAACTACTGCACAATTTCACTCATTTCACATGCTAGCAAAGTGATGCTCAAAATCCATCGAGCTAGGCTTCAACAGTGTGTGAACTGAGAATTTCCAGATATACAACAAACTGGATTTAGAAGAGGCAGAGGAACCAGAGATCAAATTGCAAACATCAGTTGGATCATAGAAAAACCTAGAGAATTCCAGAAAAACATCTGCTTCATTGACTACACTAAAGCTTTTGACTGTGTAGATCACAACAAATTGTGGAAAATTCTTAAAGAGATGGGAATACGAGACCACCTTACCAGCCTCCTGTGAAACCTCTATGTAGGTCTAGAAGCAACAGTTAGAACCAGACATGAAATAACAGGCTGGTTCAAAATTGGGAAAGGAGTATATTAAAGCTGTATATTGTCACCCTGCTTATTTAGTTGTATGCAGAGTACATCATGTGAACTGCCAGGTTGGATGAAGCACAGGCTGGAATCAAGCATGCAAGGAGAAATATTAACCTCAGATACATAGATGACACCACTCTTATGGAGGAAAGTGAAGAGGAACTGAAGAGCCTCTTGATGAAAGTGAAAAAGGAGAGTGAAAAGGCTGGCTTAAAACTCAACCTTCAAAAAACTATGATCATGGCATCCAGTCCCATCACTTCATGGCAAATAGATGGGGAAACAATGGAAACAGTGACAGACTTTATTTTCTTGGGCTCCAAAATCACTGCAGATGGTGACTGCAGCCATGAAATTAAAAGGCACTTGCTCCTTGGAAGAAAAGCAATGACAAACCTAGATGGTGTATTAAAAAGCAGAGACATCACTTAGCCTGCAAAGGTCCGTATAGTCAAATCTATGGTTTTTCCAGTAGTCATGTACAGATGTGAGAACTGGACAATAAAAAATACTGAGCGCTGAAGAACTGATACCTTCGAACTGTGGTACTGGGGAAGACTCTTGAGAGTCCCTTGGACAGCAAGGAGATCAAACCAGTCAATCCTAAAGGAGATCAACCCTGAATATTCTTTGGAAGGACTGATGCTGCAGTTGAAGCTCCAATACTTTGGCCACCTAATGCAAAGAGCCAAATCATTAGAAAAGACCCTGATGGTGGGAACGATTGAAGGCAGGAAGAGAAGGGGTTAACAGAGAATGAGATGGTTGGATGGCATCACCGACTCAATGGACATGAGTCTGAGCATGTTCTGGGAGATGGTGAAGGACTGGGAAGCCTGGCGTGCTGCAGTCCATGGGGTCGCAAAGAGTCGGACATGACTGAGCAACTGAGCAACAACAACAAAACCTCTACATAGAAGCTCTTTGCCCAAATAATTTGAAAAAACACTGAAACTCAAAGGACGGAACCTCAAGTGGTGGCACTTTAGGTCTGTCTGGAAATGAGCAGAAGAGATTCTCAGGAGTGAGCATTTTTCTGGTCATCCTCAAATAATATCAGAATAATTGGGCTGTGTGTGTTTACTTGTGAGTCTTAACTATCTATACCCAGAAGAGCACATTTGTTCCTAGTATTTGTATGAATTTATATATGAGGATGTTTACCTATATTGTGTGTTCTCCCTGCTTTCTCTGAGTACTTCCTGACATTCTGTGAATTGGGGAAGGAAGGAAGGAAGGTAGAAGTGAGAAATCTGAAGCATAGTCTCTGAGAAGGGAAGTTGCCCAAGCATTGTGCTGGATAATGTGTTTATTTCTTCATCTGGCAATGGTTGATTAGCTATCAGTGAACCAGAGCAGAAGACAAGAACGGAAACCATGACACCCACCCCACCATGAGATTGGGTTTTTTCCAAGACCATTTTCCTTCTGTATGTGGATGCTATGAGCTGAATAGAGAATATAAGTAGACTTCAAAAAGTCTACAGGCTCGCTGCAGACTCTAGAGCCTGACGTGACCACACCTGAGCCTCTTGTCTCTGCCTGTGGTCAGACCTACCTTCAGTTTCATGGGAGGCTTCGAGGGTCATCTGTTCCCAGGACTGTCTATCTTCTTCTATGGACTTTATCATGCACGGCTCATCTCCAAGGCCTTGATATGCAACTGCCCTGTCCAGTATCCGCCACGCTGTCCCTGGAGCCAAGGAAGATGGGCAAGGCTGCAGCAAATACACTATGTGGGGCTGGTGAAGATATTGAGCAGCTTTATTTTAGTGGCCCAAGAACTACATAACATTCAAGGGCAGTTTGTACTTATCAGCAAGATATATCATCAGAGAGACTTTTTGTACCACAAACAGTGGCAGCATCTTACTCTGTATGCGACCTTCTTCCTGAGCGGATGTGTAGATGTGGTGAGCCAGAATGTGTTGCCCCAAAGGGCTCCTGCCCTGGAGCAAGGCGCCCAAGCACTGAGCATGTTTCTGATTCTGACCCTGATGGTGTCTCACTTGGAGGACTCAGAAGGAGTGGAGCTACAGAGTCACATCCTGTTCATCCAGGTCTTGTTCCTGTTGCTGCTGGTGGGGATCGCAGAGCTGTGGGCTCCCAACTCACTGCGGTTCTGGGTGATGAAGGCTCTTTTGTATATGATTGCAGGCTCTTGGCTGATTCAGATAGGCTTTATGCTGTTCAAACCAATCTCTGGCTACAAATGGATGGATGATGACAAAAATGATATTCTCTTTGTTACCACCTTCTTCTGCTGGCACGTGGCTTCCCTTACCATGCTGATGATCTGGATCTATGGCTTTTCCTTTTGGTGGTATCATTATGTTTGCTGATGCCCAAATAAGGTGAGCCTGGAATGGTTCCTGTCACCTGCACATTCCGGAACATCTGGAGGAGAAGTTGAGGGAAGAGAAGCTGTCAGAGAGGAAGGCCGGGTGTCTTTCTTTCTGAAGGGCCAAGGGCATATGACTCTCTCCTCTTTAGGCTTCTCTCAGTCTTGTTTGCTAAGCAGTGAGCGGAGAAAAGGCAAATGAAGCCCAAGAGGCCTGTTGCTGTGACCTACACCTTCAACTCCCCAAGTATTTTCCTCATCTCACCTCAGCTTCAGCCAAAGCGTCTGCTTGCTGTGCTCCTCTCTGTATTCCTTACCCCCCGCAACCCAACAGAATGTGAAAATAAATGTATTCTATCCTGCCTTTGGGTTTTTATAAATATCCCTCACCCACTACATAGAATACCTACCACTGGTCACTGGCATTTAGTAATTAAAATGATTTACAGTCTTCAGTGCAATGTAATAATTTACCTATCATAAAACTACCCCCTCAGCTACCCCCTCATCCTTTCTCTTTCTCGATTGCTTCAATACTCATACTAAATCTGAGCTGATATTTTGACCATCTAGAACTCACAGAACTGTTATTGAGGCCTTTATTTTGATTACTTTATGGTTTATCAAACAGAAAGTCAGATGCTTTTTTTTAAAGCTTTGTTGAGATGTACTTAATATACAAAAAAAAAATTGGACATAATGTATACATTTTGATGAGTTTGACATAAATATATTGTGATACCATCCAATGGCAACCCAGTCCCGTATCCTTGCCTGGGAAATCTCATGGACAGAGGAGCCTGGAGGGCTGTAGTCCATGGGATCACAAGAGTTGGACATAGCAACTAAACCACCACCACCATCAGCAAAGTCTGTCAAGGCAGTTTCCTCTGCAGGGTCTATTAGAACAGAGCAGAAGCCTGCACACAGTGAGGGCTCAGGAGGGTTCGCCTGCTTCCAGAATTTCTCCACCCCCATCTCACCCAGTGTAGTGTCTGCCGGATTCTTCTACCTGGGTAGATCAACCCATTGCTCCATACACACCTCAACCGATTTCCAAGTAAGACTCACCAGGACCCACTCCTTTTGGGGTCGTCTCCTATAAAATGAAATCCAATGGCTTGTTTATTCTACCCACTCCCCCCCCACCACTTTTCTTTTTAATCCTCACAAATATTGTATGAGGTAGGCTTATAGATGATAACCTAAAACTCAAAAGTCTTAACAAGCTGGCTTAAGGTAGCTGGACATTTAGCCATGTCACATAATGCCAATAGCTGCATGTCAAAGGGAATGGAATTCTGAGGAGTAGAGTTAAATTATTAGGAACTTGTAAAAGAATGTCTTTAGCCCACCCATTCAGAGCTCTCCCTCCCGTCCCCAGAGCATGGAGAATCTAAGCTTCCCTCATGCGTGGTCACAATTAAAATATCTATGCTTAGATGGAATGAGGTTGGGGCAAGGATTCTAGAGAGTCATTATCCTTCCAGTTCCCCCTTGCTTCCAATTCCTGGGAAAACTAGATGGAGCCTTTTCCCCTTTGGGTCTGCCTTATTCTTCCTTGTTAATTTTCTTGTTCAAAAGTTAAGGTGTAAGGACTTCCCTGGCAGCCCAGTGGTTAGAACTTCACCTTCCAGTGCAGGGGATGCAGTTGGATCCCTGGGGAGGAAAGTAATTGGGCATGCCTTGCCACCAAAAAAAAAAAAAACAAAAAAAAAAACCCAACCCAGAAACAATAGTGTAACAAATTCAATAAAGCCTTAAAAAAAAAGTTAAGGTGTAGCAGGGGTAAATTGTCTGGCTGTTACAAGCTTCTGCCCTCTGGTTTTAGGGGCTTGTGAACATTCTGAGAATTGCAAAGGAAGGGGGTACTTTCAGTGTTATTTACAGGGGGCTCAGCGCTGTCTCAGGATGAGGGGGAGGGCTGGTATGCATGTGCTGAACATCCACTGTGCAAGTAGGGACTAACTCTCCATCAGAAGCTCACACCTTGCACGGGTGGGATGATCTGGTAACCATGTTGCACCACACGAGAGATGAGCCATGATTCCCAGCCCCCCCATCAGGTGGAAATAAAATATTCTCCAGGCATTAGTCCAGTTTTGTGCTTCTCCTTGCTCCTGGTGACCGTGGAGCTCCGCACTTTCCCCTAGAGGTTCTACCGTCTTCCTGGTTGTCACCTCTGGGTCCCTTCCCTTTCTTTCTCACCCACAACCTTGGGTATCTTTTCAGGCCTTGTCCAGCCCTGCAGCTCCTCCTTCCCGTGGCCTAGCTCATACTCCTTCAGTGCCTTGGGGTGGGGTTAGTAGGGAGTCTGCTTTTCATCTACACTCCTTCCTAGTGATTTGGCAAAACTCCATTTTCTATTTCACTTAGGCCTGCTCTTTTTTTCATATTGCAAGTGTATTTTGGATTTTTTTAACCTAAAAATTAATTTTTTTTTTTTTTTGCCATTACAATATGACCTCATCTTGCAGCAATGTCTTTCACTAATTAGGAGAAAAGTTATATATAAGGGCAGACAAGAAAATCCAAAATATTAATATGTTAAGGTACAAATATAAAAATTTTATGTATATAAATATAAAAGGTGGCGAGATACCAAAACCACGTTTTGATGTCTCTCTTCTGAGTTTCTCAGATATTTCTCTTCTGAGTATTTTTGAGGTCAGATACTGATGAGCTCGTTTCTTATAGTAAATTAATGCCTCAAATATTATTATGTCTCAACAACATGTATCTCTGAGGTGAAATAATAAATATTTAGCAGGGGCCTTCAAACCACAAAGGATTATTACTGAGGCCTGATAAAATGGAATGGGCAGGCCTGCTATTCAGGTGATAAGAAACTTTCTGTATTCCTCATATCACGGTAGGTGCGAGCACTCTGACAGTAACCCTAATCACGATGGAATGCAAAATCAACTGAAGAGAAATCTGGAAAAAACAAATAAAAAACTCAAATACAATTTTGAAGAGAAAGGTGTAATCTTTACCATGGTCCACCAGAGGGCACCATCTTTCCATGAGCTGGGAACGGGACACTTGCTCTTCGTTTGTGCTGGAATGGCAAGCTCCTCCAGTATTCTTGCCTGGAGACCCCATGAACAGAGAAGTCTGGCGGGTTACAGTCCATGGGGTCGCAAAGAGTCGGACAGGACTGAGCGACTAACACACTCATCAATTTAAAAGAAACGAGGGAGGTGTAAAGAAGAAGGTAAAAAAAATGTATAAGCGAGTGTTTTCCAAGCATCTAGTAAGCATAATGAAGGTCTGTTTGTTTACTATTAAATGTATGGACATGAATAAGCACAGATTCAACATAGATGTAGGGTATATGTGTATAGATTTATATACCTAGATGCATAGGTAGATGGATATATGGACATATGAATATCTATGTAGACATATATAGATACAGGTAGCTATATACACATAAATATATACATATATATGTGTGTGTGTCTCAAAAACATAGCAGTGTCAAAACGCTTGAGCTAAAATGACTTTTTTAAGCAACTCTATAAAAATCATCAAAATGCTTGTTTAGCTCATCACAGAATAGGCATACAATGAATAGTTGACTGAATGTCTAAATAAAGTATCTAGTATAGGTGTAACATGGAGGAAATGACAGTTTAGTTCTGATCTGGGTTTTGAGGGATGAGCAGGACTTTGTTAGTGGAGTTCAGGGCAGGCATGCTGAGGTGGTACATTACTGTACTCATAAGCCTGGTGGTACAGTTCCAGTCATGGAATTTCATGGCCCGATAGTACCAGAGAAAACTACTGAGTTCCTGCCCCACCTAAGAAAGGTAGTTAAGGAAGAATCCTGCAAATTGTTTTATGGAAAGCTTGATAATTTGCTTTTCAGGTTAAAGGCAGAAAGTTATTAATAGGCTGTTAGAAGGGAGCATGATGCCAACAAGAACAAAATGTTTGGTATTGCTTGTGTCATAATCAATATTCAATATTTTATGGTACATATTTAATAAACTAATTAGTAAACTTTTAAACTTGGCATACAAAATTACTTATAAATAATTTTACTTTAAATTGCTTTCACTTGTTCCTCATTTTTCAATAAAGTCATACTTTGGATAAATTTTCCTAAACAGATACCACTTACATATTTTGTTAACTAAAATTTCTTAGACATTTCATATTTTGAGTTGAAAATATGATTTCAAAAAAAATTTAAATGCCAGGTAGATTTACAAACCTAACAAAGAGAATTCTCCTAAGAACTTTAAAAGGCTCTTGTAAATTTAATGTCAGACTTTTAAATAAATACAAAACAAAAATTTAGCATTTTATTATGTAAAAAACAACATTCACAAAATAGCACACCTTTTTTAAAAGTATGTTTGCATGTGTTTCTTGATGTTTTATGTATTCCAAGATGGTTGTAGCCTACCATGTTTCTTCAATCATCAGTTACCTCATTTATTAATCAGTTTAACAGGTATACATGCCAACTCATCTTAAGAGAATTCAGGGTGAACTCTTGATAGTTTAATAATCACATTTATTCCTTAGATTATCACTTCTTTGGAAAAGAGCTAGCATAACCTGGGCAAAAGAAATTCTTTTAGCTCTCTTCCTAAAAGACTGGCCTATTCAGCACTGATTTATACCCACATTCCTTAAGACACTATGCTTTTAGACTTGTCTTCAATAAAGCTATGTAAAGCCACTCTCTACTCCGAATCACTGCCCTACTGTCTTCCCTGCAGCTCAAGGAGGCTGACTGCTGGAGCTACTAGCAACCAAATAGAGTGCTGTCACCCCAGTAATAGCAAGGACTGAAAGCCAACAATGAATTACGTGCAGTTAGACTCCTGACCCTTTCAAGACCTTAGAATTCCCCAAGTAAAAAGGTGCCAGATGTCTCCCCAAGTTGTGTGATGATAAGAATCACCCAAGGTATTCATTAAACACATATATTACCAGGTCCCTGCTCTGGTAGAAAAACCTGGGTGAGGCACAAGAGTTTTGTAT